CATACATTTCTTGAATTTCATAATTAACTGGACTAGTCTGTTTCAAGACTCTAAAAGGACCTTTCCATAACTTTGCTAGCTTTTAGTATTTACTTTTTTTTAACTATTGGAATATATAATAACACTTTATCTTCTAACTTTATATCACTGACCTGTTTCTTTTTATTTACTTGCCTTTCTCTACTTTCGGCAGCTTTAGTTAGATGTTTGTTAGCTAATTCAAATGCTATTTGCATCCTCTGTAGTAACTCTGCCTTATAGTCATAAGCTATTGCATGACTATTTTTCTTAGGAGCCAATATCTCTTGCATAGGTAAGATAACATCTCTACCATGCAATAGAAAGAATGGACTTTCCTGAGTTGACTCTTCTCAGCACGTCTATATGCTAACAATAACAAGGGGATCTGCTCATCCCAAGTTTTCTGATCCTTCTCACAATATTGAGAGATCATATCCAACAGAGTTCTATTAAATCTAAATTTAAATCTAAATTAAATCTACTAAACCATTAGTAGCTGGATGATAAGCTGTGGTTTCGATTTTATTTACACCTAGTAATTCACAAACTTCATTCATTAACTTAGAAATGAAATTACTACCTCTATCTGTTAATAGATATTGGGGTATACCATGTCTAGCTACTATGTGATTTACGAAAGCTTTAGCTATCGTTTCTGCTTTCTGATCAGGCAAGCATACAGCCTCCGGAAACTCAGTCAAGTAGTCTGCGACTACTAACACGTATTTGTTTCCTGCATAGGATGTAGGCAAGGGGCCTAATATATCCATAACAACTAGCTGAAACGGTGTAGTTAAACTCGACATTCTTTGTAAGGGAGCGTTTCTTAAATAGGGGCTAGTTTTTCGTCTCTGGCATTCTAGACAAGACTTGCAGTATTATTTAATGTCTTTCTGCATATTTAACCAAAAGAACCTTCTGCTTATTCTACTATACGTCTTAGCGAAAGCTAAGTGTGCTGCAAAAGGTGTGTCATGATAAGTTTTCATGACTTTTGTTCTTATTTTAACCAGTACGACTATTTGTAAAGTCCTATCGTCCTTAACTTTTCTACATAAAATATCAGAATCTAACATGTATTTTGATTCATCTCCTTGTGTTACTTTACTGCTAAGTCATTTATTTCTGGATCTTTCTTTTGTTCACTAATTATATGATCTAAGTCCCAAATTACTTGTTTGTTTTTCTACAGTTCCGTTATTTTCTACTCTGATTCTACTTAAAGCATCTACATTAGAATGTTTTTTACCTGGTCTATGTATTATTTCAAAGTCATAATCTTGTAATAGTAAAGACCATCTAGCTAATCTAGAGGAAGGGTATTTTAATGTCATTAGCCATTTTAAAGGTGCATGATCTGTAATAATGGTAAAATTTCTGCCATATAAACAGCAATGAAAGATTTTAATTCCATGTACTACAGCCAAGCACTCTTGTTCTGTAACTGAGTAGTTTATTTCAGCTTTTCCTAACTGTCTACTTTGATAAGCTATAGGGCGTTCTTTACCGTTTTTGTCTAACTGTGATAATACTGCACCTATAGCGAAACCTGAAGCATCTGTGCTTAAAATGAATTCCTTACTAAAATCTGGGTAGCTTAGGATTGGTGCTTTTAATAAAGCTTCTCTTAGTTTTTCGAATGCTTCCTGTCTTTTATCTGTCC